CCCGGGAGGGTTCAAGCCCAGCTTGGATGGGGCTTTGAGCAACTGGATCCCGGGGGAGATGTCCCTGCCCCTGGCGGGGGGGCTGGACTGGATCAGCTTTGAGGGCCCCTTCCAACCCAAACTATCCCATGAGTCTGTGAGCCTACCACTATCAGCCCCACTGCCCCTCCTGGACATACCACAGGATTATAAAATGCTGATTTCTAAACAAGGTGTGGGCTTTTCTTTCACTGCCCAAACAGTTTTTGGCATTATAAACTGAATTTTCTGCAATACCAATGCAAGGTAATGCTGTAAAACAAAACCAGAAGCCCTCCCAACACCCTGGATGCTTCTGGGAGTCACGTCAATGTCACAGTATCTTGCTTGCTGCAGATCTCAGGCTTTTGAAGAGATGCTTTTGGCCACAAGTGCCCTTTGCAGCCTGAGCTCTGGCTCAGCCCCGAGCAGCCACCGCGCCGATGCATGCTGTGTGTATGAGCCCAGCAGCCAGAAGCAAAGCAATGACAGCTCTTCCCTGAGAACACCCAAACAGAAACACTGCAAAATCTTACAGTGCAAGCGCAGACCGAAAGAGCCTGGAGGACGATTGAGCAACAGTCTGAGACACGTGAATTCCCTTGAGAAAATCCCTCACTCCCAGGCTTGGCCAAGTGGGTTTTAGCTGAGGAGCAGCTGCCAGGAGAGGGGAGCGTAAGACAATTTAGGAAGCACCAGGTTCTTCCACACAATTAGCAATATCTATTGATTTGACATAGGGCTGGACACAAGGAAATGTGCATATAGACCACCTCCCGGGACCTCTAGAGACAACTCACAGTCGGATACGAGCAGACATGGAATTGCACTGGGCAAATAAAGAGAAGTGGACAGCAGGGGGGTAGACTGCAAGACAGAGACCTGGTCTCAGCTTTCCAGCCCCCCTAACCACATCTTCGTGCCAGGGACACCACAGCCTGGAGGGCAGCACAAGCAGCATTCAGCTCCTCGGCAGTCGCCCACTGGCCCATGAATGCAACACCTCTGCCAACAACAAGGGCTGCTCGGAGCCATCCCACGCAGTCGCCCCACAGCAACCATCAGCCTGGCGACCCTCAGCACCACGAGGGAGGACGAAGGAGAGCCCAGATGGGCTCACAAAGAGACTGAAGGACAGGCTTGGGGCAGCAGAGATGTTCAAATGACATCCTTCAGCAGGTAAGCTCCAGCCCCGGACCCCTGGTCCAGCCCCACCAGTGAGCAGCTCCACTCAGCTGTGCTCTCTCCTGCTCTCCCCATGCAAGCTCAGCACCTCGGTCCCGCCTGCTCCCCAGAGAGGGGGTTGTAGACACCAAAGCTGGAAAGCCTCTGCTCTAAGGAAGCCCAGCTGACCCCACCAGCCGGCACTGGTTCCTCTGGCTCCCCTGGGAGATGCTCTGCTCCCTCCTGGGGATGGGGGAACCCCTCACCCAGCTCGAACTCTGCCAGATACTGCAGACTCCCAAATGTTGCCACCTCTCAGGTGCCACTAGCCTTAACTTCTGTTCCTGGCAACAAACCTCTTCTCAGGAACACAAGACCGGGGAAGAAAACAGCGATAAAGGTCCAGAAGGGACAGACTCTTTGGCCAGCTAGCAACAAAATGTCCTTCGGAACAGAGAGGACGGCATCGCCAGTGCACACCGTGGGCTCAGCGATGACTGCACCATTTCTGGGCTCAGCAAGCGATGCTCAGCATGTTCTGCAAGGGCTGCCTCATCCACGCACCCTCCCCAGGCAGCCCAGGGCAAGGACACGGCCAACTGGCGTAAAAACAGCCATTTGCTCTTTTCAGCCTCTGTGGGGCCCCACCCTTCAGGAATTCCCTGCCAGCAATCTTGCTGGACCCTCACCACCTCTCAGGGTCAGGAAGCTGCCAGCCGTCCCTCCACCTCCTTCCCACGCAGGTCCCAGCCCTCCCGTGCCCCAGCCATGGCCACCTGAAGACACGAGGGCTTCACTCTGGCTCTGTCCACCCGCAGGCGGCAGCCAGGTGCCAGGGGGACACACGCAGATCGGGGCTCACTCACTCTCATCGGGGTTGGGCGAAGCAAGAATGGCACTGTGCTTCCTCTTCACTTCCTCCACGTTCTCCGAAATTTTATCGATGAACCCTCGGATTTCTTCCACCTGTGGGAATGTGCAAGACGACAGGTCTCCTGTGAGAGGCCCGGGGTTTCAGAAAGAAGGGGCTTATTAAACGCTATCCCAAAGCAACCGCAACTCAGAACCACGGCAAACCTCCTCCTGGATGAGTATTTTCCAGCTGGATCGTCAAACTGTAGGACCGCTGTGAAAACAAGCCTCCCCCATCACAGCAGCCAGCTTTGCAGTCACAGCAACGTAACACAGACCCTACGGCCCGTGCCCTTTGCGAGGCACTGAGAAACACGCAGGCTTTATTTAAATTAGCACCAGATCTGCGGATTCCCAGACCCTGCACCGCCGGCATGGAGAGCGGTGCTGAGGTTGCACAAGCTTGCTCAGGGGCTGAGAAGCCCAGTTTGACCCTCACCCCACAGACCAGGGAGGCCAAATTTGCCAGCAAATCCACACTGGCATCTTCCCTGCCCTCCTGTAGTACAAGGAGCCACGCTGGCATCACCGAGAGGGGGAACCTCTCCCCGTGCCCTCTGCCAGTCGGGCTGCCCACCCTCCAGCTCTGTCTTCTCCTTCGACTCACACCACCACTTTGCTCATCTCCCTCCATCTGCACGCCAGGTTTTTTTCATTCCCCACTCCACTGCCTGCACAGATACATTTTAACACCCCCCACACACATGCCATGCTAAGGGTGTGCTAAAAATCCGCATGCAGATCTTACAGCCACCCACATGCCAGAAGACAACCTCTTGTTTGGTAACGAGAGGCACAAAATTAAATCGATCCCATGCAGAAACTGCTACTCCACAGAGGTGCTTTCAGGAGAGGTTTGAGAGCTGGTCCGCTCCGTCGGCAGGCTGGAAGCAGGCAGGGACCCGCTCCCCCCAGCCCGTCACCTGGCCCAGCTGCCCTGCTGGCGGCACAGCAAAGCACCCATAGGGCCAGGTAAGCCCAGGACAGCCCCCGGACTGCATGGAAGCACTCCGAGTGTAACCCCCCAGGGCCACAAGCATCAGCTGAGCAGCATCAGCCAGGGCATCCCCATCCCCACCTCAACTGCTGCTCCCCAGCCATGGTGGGAGCCCACACCACCAGCCGCAGCCTGCTCCAGCACCAGCAGAAGGCTCTGATCTGGCGTGAAAGCTGCAGCGGAGAAACAAAACCTCTCACCTGCTCAAAGAACTCATCCATGAAGCGGTCTCGGTCCACACTGACAGTGACTTCATCATCATCGTCACTGTCCTTCGCCTGCAACAACATGGAGAGAAGCGTCAACAAGCACTTTCTGCAAAGCTTGTGGCTCCATTGCAGGAGCTCCCCAGGGGCATCTTCCCCTTCTCCTTTGCTCAGTTGCTCCCAGCAGCTGGGGCAAGCACCAGAGCAAGGGACGCACCAGGCGCTGCCGCACCAGAGCACTACGGACACCAGAGAGCAGAGGGGGCCCAGCTCCAGCAATAAAGGCCAGACACAGAACACCATCACAGCCAGCTGCCACCGCGCATGGCTTCCCGTGGCCAGCACCAAACAGGGCTGCCTGCGCATTTACAGAGGGCTGGAGGGGGAACTTCATGAGCCGTCCTCAGCTGTGAGAGAGCATCATGGCTCTGCAAGCAGCAGCGATGGGAAACACGAGGGGCACTGCAATAGGGAACACGAGGGGTCCTGCAATGGGAAACACGAGGGGTGCCGTGATGGGGAACACAAGGGGTGCCGCAATGGGGAACACAAGGGGTGCCGTGGAGTGCAGGAAAGGTGAGAGAACAGAAGATAGACCAGAACTAGTAAAGCCACAGCAGGGTTGTCCTTGCCAGCAGCAGCCTGTGTGTCATTGTCACCAGAGATGAAAACACCTCCCGTCCCAGCAAGGCAGGGGGCACGAGCTCGCAGGGGAAAGAAAAATTATAGTCCTCTGTATCAGGAGACATTTAAAAGATTATTATCCAAAGCAGATGATGGAGGGAAATGGAAAATTAATGGGGTGGAAAAGTTTCTTCTTACTCCATCTTCACTAGAGAGAAGGAGCCAGCAGAATGGAGAAGATTTAAGAGGGAGGACTGTCTCTGCCCATCTCGCAGTTGTCCCCCATCCTGCAGGTGGTTACACGTCACCCCATGGCCCCTTCGCATGCCGCGAGCTACCCAATAGAGCCTCCAGAGAGGCGTCTCTCACCATGGAATAACTCAGATCCTACCCTTCCCCCTGAACTGCCTTCTTACCCTAGGGTGACTGATTGGTGTGGAGTGGCCCAGAGGAGACCCCAGCTTCCAGCCTTGCTCATGGCACTGTTTGCTTCATCAGTGGCTCCTCCAGAGACCTCAAGATTCAGGAGCTACCACGACCCAAGTGAAAACCTCACCCAGACAAGGAAAAGCAGGCACATCGCTGCCCTGACCCACCACTCCGGGGACACAGAGAAGAAATGTTCCCTGAAGCCAGAAATTCCAGAGTTGTCCATCTTGGCCGCAGCTGGGCCCCCAAGCCCCGGCTCAGCAGGCAGGAGCGCATCTCCTTGCCTGTCACTGGCAAGCAAGTCTGGGCTTTTGGAGGCTGTGGATTGTTTGGCGCTTGTGTTGAGTGGTGCCAGTGGGTGGCTTTGACCTTGACTGGAGCTTTCCATGTGGCTTTGAAAACCTAGGATGCTTACAGCTGGGATGCATAAAGCCAAAACACTGTCAGCTGGTTTAGGTTTCCTTAGGGAAGGTATTTTGGTTTTATTCCCGCTTTGGCAGCGGCTGGGGCAGGGCAAGAGATGCCAACCTGGGAAGGGATCAGTGCATTTGGATTTTGACAGAGCTGGGCGAGATCAACCTGAGGATAAGCCCCTCTTGCTACCTCCCACACCCGCTGTACAACTACTTTTCTGAGCTCCTTCCAGCTCTGCTGGCCCCAGTTCCCTGCCACAAGGCCATTCCTTGGGCAGCATCCCCAGCACCCACCATGGGCAGGCTGGCTCATCCCCGCAACCTACCACGACACCCTGCCCAGCAGAGGGGCTGGGCAGGGGGTGAGGGCCAGCACTGAAGCCCAGGCTTGGGGCAGATGGCCCACGAGGCTCTGTGTGTGGAGCAGCTCTGCCAGGGGACACGTCCTGCCCCATGCCACCTCGCTGCACACCCAACAATATGGACAGAAAGGGTCCAAGGAAAAGGGGCTGAGAGCATCCTGTGGAGAAGGACTGGGGGATACTGGTGGGTGACAAATGGGCCATCAGCCAGCAATGGGTGC